GGTCTGGTTTGAGTGTTTATAAGGTAAGTTTACAATTTTTCCTGTTTAAATATAAAAATTATTAATATTCTATGATCTACTTTTGTTAAAAGCAAAGGAAAAACCATTATTAACGTCTAATCAGAAGAAAGTAGTTTGGATTGGGCAAAATCGAAAATATCCTGGACAACAGAAACGTGGAGTAACGTTATCTTCGGCGACGAATCAAAATTCGATGTGGTGTAGGCGATTTTCGAAAAAATGGTGATTCGTCGCCTTTCACAAAGATTGTATATAGCGCACGGTAAAATTTCCCCAGGCTGTTATGATATGGGGTGTATGAGTGGTAAAGGGGTTGGCAACTACGAGTTCATTGATGGTACTGTAAATGCAGAAAAATACCAAAAAATTTTATCAAGAAGTTTGATTCCATCAATAGAACGAACTTTTGGAAATGAACATTTTATATTTCAACAAGACGGTGCGTCCTGCCATACTGCGAAAACAACAAAAAAGTGGGTTGGGGACCATAATATGAAAGTTTTATCGTGGCCATCAAGTAGCCCCGACTTGAATATTATTGAAACTTTATGGCATCGGATGAAAAAGACTTTGCGTAACGATCCTCAGCGTACAGTTCCAGCATTAACGGCAAAAATCACCGAAATTTGGAACACTTTCACCACCGAATATCTCAAGACTTTGGTTAGATTCCATGCCAAAACGCATAAAAGCTGTTATTGCCGCGAAAGGTGATGTTACTTCTTATTAAAGTTCGATTTTATGTAATGTTATGTAATTTATGTGAAATAAAAAAATAATTCATTACGATAGCACTTTTTAGTATAAAAATAAGTGCGTGATTTCATTTTTCAATCGAAAAGGCAAAAAAAATCAATTTAAAATAAGTATAAATATATTTTCTTATTATTTCGTACATCGTCCGAGCAATTAGTTGTTAGGGCTCGTATATTGTTTGACGGGAACGGAGCATTGTCTCCGATGACTGTAAAAACCAGAGCTGCGAGTAAGATTGTTTGGTTGATGATAGATTTCTATAGATTAGATTACATACAAGAATTTTAGTTTTAAAGTCTTTGACGGATCGATGATGTTAAGAGATTTTTGGAAACATGAGCGAGTTTTGTAAATAGTATTAGAATAGCCCGTGGAAGTTTCTTGGAAAAGCAATATATTTTGACTTGTTTGTAACAAATCCAACAAACAACAACAAAATTTTAGCTGTTACGCAACCTCAAAAACCCACCTACATTTGACTGAAGAGGATTTCTATTCAAACATTTCACGGAAATCCAAAAATGTGGCCTACGTTTTTTGACCTTTTTCGCGATTTGATTCTGACTTATCTAACAGAAAAATTCAATATTCACTATCTCTTTGGGAAAAGGAGCATTTAAAAAACTATTGACGTTAATTCAAATGACAATTCAAAATAAAAGACTATTAGCGACGACGGTCTTTAATCTAATCTTAGTTTAGTCATCTTCCGCAAAGGATTTGATGAATATTTTGGACAACTTCTCTAAAAAAAATCCGTGCTAAAAGTTTCAGGCTTCGAGGTAGATAAATAGGACTTTGTATTGCTCAATTCATTGTTACAAAAATTAAACGCACACCTAAGAATGGATTTTGAGGTCAGGATCGGCAATTAGATCATCCTTACTTACTTATATATTTTTTCCTCTTCAGTGAGGAATAAAACATGTGAAGATATTTTCAGGAGAACTGTTTCCCGAGATACCTCTGGTCGATTTTGCGTAGCCCTTGCGTTCAAGTCTGCCGAATTTGATTTGGGAAATACGTATTTTTCTGGTCTTTATCCTCTATTGCTATTGGAGTCCCGTTTAGCAAAAGATTATCTACTTAATAATATTAATAATACTCCACATTTATGCATGATTATATTATTATTGGGTAAATGTTACATTCTCTACTATTGCGTTTTAAAGCCTGAAAGCGTAACTACTATGTTGCGCTTAGTTTCTCGATGCATCTTCAAAGGGCTCAAAAGGGTTGCCTTCGAATTAAATTTTGCTATCTGGCGCAAAGTTGCAAAACAATATCAGTACCACAGTCCTAAACTTTTGATTTCGTCGTTTTGTATTCATCGCTGACATAAAACAGATGTATCGACAAATTCTCATGCAACCAGAGCACCGAGAGTTTCAAAGAATATTGTGGAGGCTTTCTCCTAATTCTCCAATAAATCAATGTTTCTTAAATACTGTGACTTAGGACGTTAAACCTTCGGCATATTTAGCCTTCCGTAAAACAAAGTAATTAGGTATAAAAGAATCTAACAGATATCCTAATCACATAATCACAGGTAGCAAATCTATAAAATCAAAAATTAAGCTGCAAGGCGAACTTACATTTATTAAGCTGTGGCCGTTTTGATTTAAAAAAAAAATGGGCTAGCAATAGACCAGAATTATCAACCTCGACAAAGATAAACCCATGTTCATAAAAATTTTAGGTTTGCGAATGGTATCCCTCATCGGATACCTTTAGTTTTAACTATCAACCGTTGGAACGCCCTAGCATCAAACGAACGATATTATCCTGAATCAGTAGAATTTTCGACCCACTGGGTTTTGTATCCCCAATATCTCTATTAGCAAAGTATATCATGCAGTGACTATGGTTGTCAAAAATAGGTTTAGATGATACTCCTCCCACAATGTATCAAATCAAACCGGAACTTCCAGGAATTCGCGTAGTTTATTTTCACTCTGAGACCGGATTTGGTAAGGTGGCTCCTTCAAATATATTAAGTCTACCACCTCGCTTGGAACTCTGTTAAACGTGCTGTTAACAAATTTATAGTTTATTCTTAAGGATATGTATTATAAAATGGTTGCTATAGACCACTCCAACAATTGTTGTTGAAGTTCCAGAAGTGGAACGTGTCGTTTTAGCCCTTATTACTAAATTATTAAAGCCAGTACATTCCAATTATCGATGAAGGTGGGCGAGCGTTCGAGGTTTTCTCAACTTCCGTTCCAAAAAAAATTCCTTATTTTATTGACCGTTCTTATACATTAACGGAATTAATTATTGAGGGCGCCCACAAAAAAAGCAAATAATCAGTTGATTGGATATTTCAGAATATCATGAGCAAATTTGTCCATAAAATGACATTTAATTTAAGGTTAACATACGAGTTTAACACATTTCTAACTCAAATCAAGGCATTACTAAACTCTAGGCTCTTATGCGCAGAAAGTAAGGACCCTAACGACTTTTTGCCATTGACAACGCATATTCTGTTTAACCTAAGTGTTTCCATTTCCTAAAACCCCCAATCCTAAAGAAGCATCAAATTTTTGCCCAATAAGTATTTCGACAACCATGACACGCCTAGTCTAAAAATTCAAGCAAGTCGTAATAAAAATAAACCGAGATTTGCAATTTTGGAGTAGTTTCCCACGTTATTGCCACAAAGATATTTTGAATTACCTGTATTGTCTATTGTACTATTTCAGGTGACTTGATGATCTATATTGAAAAATCACTGATACACTGCATTCAACCATCTAGTGAGATTTACAACAGGAACTTTGCAAGCAGATATTTTTGGTTGAGCTAAGTTAACAGACCCGTTACAGTATTAAATAGAATTAAATGTACCTAAATCGAACCGATCGCGAACCAAAATGCACTGGATGAAAATGCAGATTTCTTAATGTAACAGTTTCATTTTTTGCTAATAGTTGATTTGGCTGCAAAATGTATGATAGCAGTTAAAATTTAATTAACCCGATTTCACAATACATGTAACAAAGCTATTTCTATATAACCGAATGGTATTTTGCCTTTTACTTACGATTTTTTTAATTTTTAGAAAATTTATTTTTAAATTAAAAACCTGTTTTGTTAAACAATCTCGTTTATGTACTTATATAATATTACTTCGATTATTTGCGTTTAACTCTAACTTGCAAATTTTAACATTTTCGATTACAATAAAAGTAAATTTAATACATAAGCAATTGTTTCTGAGGAGCACCACATAAAACTTAAAGACATTTTTCTATAACTCTGTAGTTTTATTGTTTGGATAATGGGTTTTTTCTAATATTGAAAAAATCTCTGGCATTTCTCGAACCAATGTGAAACCTAGGCGGACATCTTTCGGACTAATAGAATATCACGTATAACTTCCCTGTAAAGAAAACTAATTTCTCAGAGCCATCTGTCATCGAGAGGCGAAACTATGGAGTGGTTCGTCGACACAGTTTTCTTTTTGGGGCACCTCCATCTAGGAACGAAGGGAGAGTAGTCAGGTATTTTAGAAAAATGGTCGAAAGAATTCTGTCAGATTATATTTTTGATACCAATTTTAGAGGCGTATTTATAAATTAAAAGCGAGTGGAGACAAGCGAAACCTATCGTGACGACAGCAATCTCCGAAATAACAATAATGCATGGACGAAATGGATTACGTTACTTCAAACATGTACTCCCAAAATATGGTCACTGTTGCCAAATCATACTCGGTTATTTACTTTTTAGGTTAACGTAGAAGATAAATTTAACAATTTCTTATTCACAAAAAAAACTATTTGATGCATCGAAATGTATTTAAAGCAAGGTCCATTTTTTTGTTATATATTATTTTTTAAGATTATTGAGGTATATGTTTTTAGATTCTCTTCACAACGAAAACATTTCGACAGGTGAATTGTTTAGCTGCTTCGTTGTCATTAAATATTATATTATTGTTGGCGCTGACGTAGCTTTAATTCGATAACTGCCGTAAACCTTTATTAGGTAGTTACACAATTTATAATTCCGAAACATCGTTGTCGGTAACCGTCAAAGTGATCCAAAATAAGCACCTATTTTCATTGTGGAGCACAAACAGAACGGGAGCGTCCTCGAAACGTACGACAAGCAGGCAACATCGCGTCAAATTGTTCCGCGCCCGTCTCCCCACCTCTAGAATCATCCAATAGCGTCTCGGTATGACCTGACATTACATAAAACTGTTGGGGTATTGCCGGAAATTTCATTCTAGTAAATTCGAGCGTGTGAGTTGGGTCGATACAGTAATTATTCACAAGCGAAATATTTTAAGAGTTTATTTACAAACAAAACAACGAGGATGGCCTTTATGATGCCGGTAGTGAAGAACGATTGGGACATTTACAAGTCCAATCGTGTTAGAAGAACTTCAGAGTGCACTGGTCCGTCGTCTTGCAGATCGCGAAAAGTGTCGGAATGTCGGTCAGAAGGGCCGAGCAGTTTGTCGACTTCTCCTGGTTCCGATTTCATGACCTCGCCTACACATCGGTCCGTGCCAGACAAAATGTCCTCGAGGCAATACACCCGATCGGGTTCTAGAACGAGCTCGAACAGTCTTCAAAGTCCTGTGAAAAGTACGTCGTCTTCGCCGCCGAAAAACAACTCGTCAACAAGTCTCAACAAGTTCCATAATAGGTTGTTGGATAAGTTGAAGAAGTCGATGAAAACGAAGGATAAAAGTGAGGAAAGAACGAGTGCTTGAAACACGGCGATTAAGAAAAACACCTCCTAGTGAATGAAGTTTTTGTTTTTAGTGTTGGCCGACCGGGACATTAAAAATGGCTTTATGTGGACAAAAAGTTTGAGCTAATACATTATTCGTTCAGGTATTTTGCAAATCGATATATGTTTCCTGTGATACGTAGGAGTTACATGTATATTTAGTAGCTTTGATATCTCGGTCATCGGGTAGAGAATTTGCGGAACGACGAATTTTCTTTTATTTCGAGCAAAAATTGGAAATGAGTCATTCAAAATTACACATCAAGCATTTGTCTGTTGTGGGCGTATGCACATTCAATTGTGCATAGCATAGGAATCGCAATCATTTCGTCGTTCCCAAATTAAAAGTTTGCCTAATCTTCGATTTTTCGAAGACGATTGACTTAAAATTTTGTAAGACTGGATAAATGGAGGATATTTTAATAAAATATACTTAATTATTAAATAATTCGCTTGTTGCAAAGATATTATATTAGTATAGTTTATTTAGATGATGATCTTGACATAGAGGGAAAGTGCACCAATATCACCACTGCCCTCCTTTAGAGTTTTTTTGTACCACATTCCAAATAAAAAGGGAGTACCTATATTGTAGTTCATATCGTACCAAATCACATAAAAAATAATATAAATTATATTGCGGTTGTGTAACATAAATTATTGATATTTTCAAATGCGAATTGTCAAACTATATATATTCATGTTGAAACCACTTTGTATTGGTAAAAGTTTTTAAAAAATAAAACATTGTTTGAAAAAAATCTGACTTTTATTATAATCTCGCCGGATTCGCAAAGTATGAAAAAGAAAGTAAAAATCTGCGCCATTGCTAAAAATTTATTTTGGCTTTATGTCCGCCCAATATTAATCCATTACTTAGAAAACGAAAAAATTGTTTAGCTTTTGTATTCTTTTCGTCTATGCGGCAGCCTACCGAAAGAATTTGGTAACTGGCAAACGTTCAAGAAACTGTTTTTATAAACAACTGGAAATGGCTTTGGCTCGCTTGCCAAAATACAACCACAGAATACTGTAAAAAATCAATGGCGTCGAATATTAGAACGTAGTTGTCTACCACGCGCAACGTGCCCAATACTATTAATTACAATTTTCGAAAAAAAAAAATAATAAAAGAATTGTACAGTTTGTCAAGGCAACCAAAACTTATCAGTACCTGTACTGTCGAAAATAGATACATGTTAAATCAGATTTTAGTTGATATTGGGACACGAGTGACTATTAAATTTTCACATATTTTTACTAAAAACATTTTTGCATATTCATATTTCGAAAACAGTCAGAAAAGAATATTCTATCAGAAAAACAAAAAAAAGTGAGCAGCAGGAATTGAGCGATTTGAATTTACCTACAATTTGATACAACCGTGAATTCACTGCACCTTCAAGGACATATAAGCGGCCCGAACGGCATATTTTTAATGTAAAAGCGAAAATCCATAAATTTTATACAGGGCATAAGTGGTTGCCGAATAAGAAATCTCGTAAGCTTATGTGAGTTTTAGGAGCGACATTATATAAAATATAGTGTCAAGAAATATCTTCAGTATTCCTTATTTCTACATATTCTAAAACCGAGTGAGAGAAAAAAATTTAAAAGTGGGCACATGAATTTTCGTAAATATTGACTACAACCTGAAGCATTTTGCTACAATGTAGAGTTTCTAGTGGCTGAGGTAGAGAACATTAGTGTTTTATTAAAACAAAATATACTACACCACTGGTTTTTTAGTTTTAATATTTTATTATATTTAAATGTTGCGATAAAACTTTAGGAGGTGCAAGGCTATATAAAAAACCCCCATAAATAAATGAATGAAATGAATAATTAATTTGTGTATACCTACTTACTTAGCATTCCTCTAAATCAACACTTTTGTGTCCGATTTCGTAAAAATTGTTTTATAGTATTTAAATAAGCTTTTCGTGCATTATTCATACCAATCTGTTAAAATAGCGAAATGTTGTCTACCGACCAATTTGTCACCATTATTGAAAGCCTTGTTTTTACCTGTAGTGCCAAAAACGTAAAAAAGGCAAATAAAAATATTCATTTTTGAATGCGGTATATTTCGAAATTAAAGAATCAAATGTTTATTGCATATTCTAAGTCGAAAATAAGCCTTAGTTTTCCGAGATACAGGGTGCTGCAATTTTAACAATGAAGCTGTTTTATATCATAATTTTTAAACCACTGTATTCAAGCGGCATAAGCCATTTATTGATGCCAGATGTGACGTCCGTACTTCACAAAAATAATTCAAAAGTTAACATTTATTATTTTTAACTTCATGATTTTGACAATTTGGTAATTTTAATTTTTTTAATTGAAAAAAATTCGTCTTTCGAAAACAAGTGAAGAAATCAATTTTTTTCCTAATTGAATGGGGATTTTAAAAAATATGTATTTTAGAAAAAATCAGTGGCGCACGATTTTTTTTAATGTGCCATACGTGATATACCACGGACGTCACTGTTATTTTTTTTAACCATATTGCACGTCAAAAAATGTCTTTGGCTACTTCAAAGCAGTGTACAAAATATCAATGAAATATCTAGATTTGTTTGAGAATTATGATAAAACATGGGTTTTTTTCTGCAAGCACGATAATATACTCATCAAGATGGATCAAACATCAAATATATCCTTCCCATAATTAGAACTTAAAACAAAACATTCAGCTTAGCGGAAATAACATAAAATACTGTGTCCACTGGTACAGTGGGCCGAATGTTGTGAATGCTTTTGCCGAGGAGTATTTTTAATAACCCTGCGATCACATTAGACCATTGATTATTTCTAATTTTAGAATTCTATGTGGGCATGTCGATGTGTTTTCGCTCAATGATATCATTAAAACAATTTACATTTGGAAGGCACGCCCCAAGTCAAAGTTGAAGTGGTGCTTTAAGGAGGAGATATAAGTATATTTCGATTTCCTGGGTGCATAATAAAAATAAATTGTAAAAAGTGTCTAATTATTTATTATCAACGCTTAAAATCCTTAATACTGCATACTTCGTTATTTTTTTCAAGATCGTTGGTTATTTAAAGCTATGTACTAAATTTAAGATAGGGACTTGGAAATTTATGTTGCAATAGAAGCGGTGCAATGAATAATAGACATACAGTTCTTGTGATATTATTTACAGAACATAAAATAATCAACATTTAATATCAATTGTGTATTCTAGTGCTTATTTACAAGTTCTCAACTATATCAGGTTCGTTTCATTTTTAATTTATTTTTAAATTAATTTAATTATCCTAAAATGATAATAGTTATATCATTTTCATGAAAATGATAATAGTTATATCATTTTCATAATATATGTTCCTTCCTTTAAGATTTTGCAGTTGTCCCTGAATTTACAATGGAAGAAGCAAACCGATTGAGATTACCTATGAAAACCTTTCTACCGAATTTCTGAATATTTATATTTTAAAATTATTTTTAAGGCTAAGAAAATTTTATTTTGTTGAGTGTAATATTAGAAATTTAAAATAAACAAAAATAAGTAAACTCGTAGAAACTTAAGAATTGACTTTTTTTATTCCTAAAAATAGTATATTTTGAAAAATAATATAACAAATTTTAATTTATCCAAGACCCCATTTTATTACCCATTAATGATTTGGGCAGGATATTGTAATTTTAAAATAATTTGGCAATTTATTGTGCATTGTCGATATATTTTAGCTGTTAAATTTATTCCGATTGTTGACAAAAATGTGCAGCATGTGCAAAAAGTATTTGCTCCACTCATGTGGTCATCAAAACTGGCTCCCCGAATATCAAAGGTATCAACAAGTTTTTTCGCTTTCCATGAGTTCGTTTTTCTCTGGTCGTAGATTCTTCTTTAACTCGGTATTTATATTTCATTTGTCGATATTGTTAAAATTTAGCACAGATATTTATAAAAATTAGCATCTCCTTTAGCCCCAAGTAGATTAGATTTATTAAGTTCAGTGACGTTCGGGAATGAGAGGCGGCTTCCCCGCCAACCTTATGACCTTCAAAGTAATAGCATAACGACGTCAAAAATCAATTTCAAAAATTTAACCCTAGCATAACCCATAAGGATATAAGTGTTGTAGGTATTATGCTATTATATGTGTCGTTACAGAGCCACTGGCAATGCTGCTTGTATTCGAGTAGAAATTATAGTTTATTAAAAGTAAATTACGGAAAAGCAATAACCACAATCGCCTCAGGCCAAAACTTTCCTAATTGTTTTCATGGTTTCACCATAAATGCAGCCAATGCGTTTAAATGTGGTATAAAATTCTGTACCGCTCGCTGCAAGATAATAGAAGCGACAGTGTAAAATTTCGACATTTTTTAATTTTTAATTGAAGACGACAATATTCTGAAATTTTGGGTTTGATACTTAAGCTATGTTTACTAAGAGCCTCCACTACAAAAATTTGTTTGTAACAAACACATCAATCAGGCTTGATATAGATCAGAACAAACTTATTGTGGAACTTTTACTGAAAAAACAAACTTTACACTCAATTTTTTGAAAATAATTGATACAATTATGTGTCTTTTTTCTTCGTTGTCAAGCATGGATTGGGAGAATGGTAAACCTGGGATGAAAAAATTGAAAGTATGAAAAAATATTATAAATAACATATAACAGTTTCAGTTGCAACACAAATAGTAACTAGAAACACAACTGTTGGACACGGACCCTTTTTAACCCATCCATATTTTAAAACGACACAACTAGATTTTAATTCATATAATTTTGAGGCAACTGTTTAGTTTTGCTCCTAACCTAAAGCATTTTTAAGATGTATTTTTCTACTCCCTAACTAATGATGCAGTGATCAGCAATGCGCAAGTTGTCGCTTTAAAACGTCGGCCTCATCAAACACTGTTGCGGCAATTTCGAGCGTTTCCGGTACTTTAGTCACAGGTTAGAAACCATTGGATGTGTTCGGTAGATATTAAACACTGACGTTTGTCAATTCTGATCGTCACACATCACTCGGTGAATGTATTATTGCTGTTCTGTAAAAATGTGTGTACCCGAAAACTAATGGCTGTCGAAAAAGTAGAAATTCTTTCAGACACTCGTGACTATAGTATAATTTAAAATACTTGTCGAATATTATACTATTATGTGCCACTGAAAACACGCTAAAGGATTTACTTCGTCTTAAAGTGTCAAAATGCCGAAAACCAGGTGAACTCATTGCTTATTATTTATACCCCTTGGCATTATTAGTTGTTCGTGCTTTTTTCCGAAGCGCTCGACATAACTTTATTTCGAATGTAGCACACATTTTTCAATAATAATTGAATTTGAGGTTAGCCGAACATCTTTAAGTTACTTCATTTCGCCCTTGCCATTCACATATGAGGTGTTTTCAAAAAGTAAGATGACTTTTGTAATTGAAGAGGTATCTTTGATATATTTTTTTGTTATGTTATTATACATGTCCCTAACATATGTTCACAGTTTCAGTCAGTTTGCAAGTTTACTTTTTTGTGAGGCAGAAGCGTTAGACGTGTTTTGTGTGCTCGGCAATTGTTTGCTGTCAAAAAAAATGGAACAAAGGATTTGCATAAAATTTTGTTTAAAAAATGGAACACAGTGCTGCAAAACACTTGAAATGTATATATGTATATACTTTTATCAAAAAAAATGTTTATAAGTGGGACAAGCTGTTCAAAGATGGGCCAGAAGAAACCGATGACCAACCTTGCTCTGAAC